CTTGCATTAAGGAGTTCGCCAGCATTTGTTACAAGCTTGTATGAAGGTGAGCAGTCCTCTGTACCTACTAGGAGTTAGAGTATATTCAAGACATGTTAAGTATTTCTCAAGGCGAATTAGAACTTGATAAAACGATAAGAAACCTTGCAGTGTCTTTGCGTAAGCAGTGACTTACAGCTCCATCTGGGGGTGATGAAGCATCAGGACAACGAAGAGTATAACGCTGTGCTGTACCAGCGCACTGCAAATTAAGGTCTGTTTTTGACACAGGAGATACTTGGGGAAAAACTTGGGTTACAGGAATGCAGCTCATGAATTAAATACCCTGCTTACCGGCCAGGCTGCTGGGGCTCCAGGTACAGTCAGCCTTTCCTGCGTGGAGGTTCTTGGAACCTTGGGCAGTGTCATGATCCCCGGCAGTACTAAGAACACGCTGACAACACAGAAGGAGAATGTATTCCAGTTAAGAGGCTCAGCGATCTGGTTTTGGTTGCTGGTGGATTGAGGGATGTTGGTGGAAACAGGGTGTTTTCACCAAAAAGGCAGATTAAAACTGCAGAACATAAGCTGTTAATATTTTTAAGAGGAGGTCCAGCCTTTTGCTGTGGGTCTAACGGTCAAATCTGAGGATTCAGAAAATTTTGAAAGACTGTATGCTCGCTCTGGAAATGTCCTCCTTTTGTTCCTGTATCTTTGACCGTACTTGAAGATAGAAGTGGTTGATGTTTCTGACTCCCTCTCCTTCTCTTCCTTCTCTTCCTCCCTCCCACGTGCATGAGTTGAACGAGCCAATGTGTTGTCCGTTGCAGTTTAGCCGGGTTAATGCCGCATGTGCCTTCAGCTACCATGCCTCATGCTGTGGGTGGTGATGAGGGCCCCGTGACTGGCGATGCTCTGTGCTCAGCAGCCTGCTGCTTGAGCCTCAGGCACAGCTTCTGCACTTTCTTTCTGCTGGTCTGCCCCAGCTGTTAAGCAAATAGTGTTGGTTCAAACACCCTTTATGGGTATGAGAAATCAAAGTACATCAGATGATGTGAAAATGGTTAGAAACTTCATATTAAAAGTGAAAGGACTACATATGAAGTCTTGGTTGCTGAGTAATCAATTTGCTAGTGCTATGTACAAAATCAGCTTGGAAACAGTTTATTCCTACTGCTGTTTTACAATCTGAGCCTCGAAATGATCAGCAGCTATGCTATTCCGGGAGAGGAACAGTCTTCCCGAAATGACTGATCCACCAAGCCACCTTCCTGCAAAGCATTGCCTCCTGCAGGAGCTGTCTCTGGGCACGCAGCCCTTTGACCACCTAAGCTTTCTTTTGGGGCCTTTGAGCACTTTGTCACGGCAGAAACACGTATCTTTTTGTAGCGTGCTTTGGTTCAGTATGAGAGATGACTTCCTCACTGGGGGAATTACTTCATTTATTTCCAGATTGATCTTGCCCCGTGCTTTCACTTTGCCACAAACGGCAATGCTTCAGCTGGGGGAGGAATGAAATCTTTTTGAGAAGCAGAAGCTTCTGATTTGAAACCATCTAGTGCTCACTGGGAACAGTGGATGACCTTTTCTTTTGATCCTCTCCATTTTCAATATCTGGTGACTTGACTCTGATCTTCATTCATCCTGACTTCTGTAAAAGAAAATCTCTGGGGGAAGTGGTTGGGATTTGGAAACTGTGGCAACAGCATCTGTGGCTGACTTGCTGGTGGAGCTGCTGACAGGCGAGTTTATTTATTAGGAAGGAAAGGGAATGGTTCCCGTGTGCGGTAATATCTCACAAAGATGTACCTTCTTGGCATACGGTTGCCTCTCGGGTGGTATGAAAATATTTGTCCAAGGTATATTCAGTAGCTGTCCTGAGGTTAATCTTCCAAGAACTAGGTAATTACTGGAAAGTGTTGTCCTGTGTACCGCATCAAGAAACTAGTAAAACTTACCTATGCTGGAACTGTATTTGGTGATTGTTTGGACTCACTAGGTAAAACTTGTCCATTAGTTGTTGTTATTTGTCATTCAATCTATTTCCCTGTAAATATCTATAGGTGCAGAGGAACAGATTCTCAAACTATTCCTCTGAGATTTTTGAATTTCTCAGCACTTTCCAAGTGTGTGCTGGTGCCCCAGCAATTTCAGAATCTCAAACTGGATAGTACACTCTTCGAAACTCTACTAAAATTTATTAGTGTTGGTACCTTGTATCGACAGAAGTTCGCTGTTAGCAGACTGCTATAATCCTTGTGCAGATCTTTCTCATTGATAACTACATGTGCGAGGAATACACAGGTAGCTTTCACCTGTTGTAGGTGATTTTGATATTTGAGAAGTCAATATTCTCAAGCATGTGTGGTGTTGTACGGTATAGGACACAAAATTATTCTAGCAAGATAAAGACTACATTGCAAATCCCTTTCCACAAATAAATTAATGTGTGCTGATTACTTCCTTGTGCTTTCATGGCAGAAGTTGCCCCACTCTGTCGTCTTCTCATTAGAAGCACCAGATTGCCTGTAACCATTTTTGTTGTATGTGCACTAATTCTGCCACTCTGTAAGATGAGTAGAGCAGCTGTAATGCTCATAACTTGCAGGAGCTGGAAATCACTGATAATCAGTTGCGGTAAGATACGCACTGGAGAAGACGTGTCTCTCAAGTGTTAACAAGGTGCTGACAAACAGAAGTTTAGACTTACCAGATTACATCTGGCTCTGGCGTGCCCTCATGATAAATAAGACTGCAAGTCCTGCAGACACCCTGCAGCACCCATGTTTTTGCGGTGGCAGTAGCCCCTACGCGTACAAACATGCAGTTAGACCAACACGCACAGCGAACAGTGAGGTGCACCGTGTTGTTTGCCGGTAACTTAGGCGTGTGGTTTTTATCACTCTGTATTTCCATTAGAAGGAAATGGTTTAGAAGTATACTGTGGTAAAAGGCAGGACGGCTGTGGTCTAACTGTCCTCCGCTTATCGCCTGTTCTCATCGCAGCCCACCTCCCCTGAACCAGTTGTGACTGGTTTAGCTTACAGGGTTTTTCCACTAAATAACCAAACCTTCCTGCAAAAAAAAAAAACCACCACCTCAGCACCCAGAGGCCATAAAAATCGACTTATCCTCTCATTTGGGCTCGACAAATAAAAATTTAAAACCTAGTGCGAATGGTGTATGTCTGTGTAAATAAACTTCAGGGACATGTGAGCTGTTGCAGATATAAAACTTGCACCCACGTACTTGATAAACCCCAGAAACTGTGAGGCGATAGCTACGCTCAGAATGGTTTAGGGTTGCAGGTGGGCATTTTTTTCTTGATGCAAAAAAATTAAAAAGCTGTATTTTCCCTCTGTTTTCTGGCGTTGTATGGACAGCGTCTTTCAGTTTTGTGGATGAGACATGGCGAGTGGATTTGGGGATCATTTTAGTGAGAGAAATTTTGATTCACAGATGCAATCCAGGGTTTCTCTAGCAGGGATAAAGGTAGCAGAGACCGGGACAGTAATATCAATGGTTCTACTGAAATCTACAGTAACTGCATTCCAAAAATACCTTTGTAGCTTCTTTATATCACTTGGATTGGAACTGAGCTGTAACAAATAACAGCGTGCAGTATCTGCTGTTTCTCAGGGTTTAAGTGAAGGCTAGACATCACATCTTTTATCGCACTGAAGAGCAACGTGACACTGAAGGCAGTAATTAGCCGCATTGGCTTCTGTGTGCAGAAGGTAAAATAGCTTGTGAGAAGTGCTGTTGGTTGGTAGAACTGAGCCTGACTTAGGTTCTTCTTCCCTTGCGATGGGGAGCATTTTCCCTGGCTGGGCTTAGCTCTTCAACAGAAAAGATGTAATGAGCTGGCTTTTATTCCTCTGGGTAACTGTGTTCCTGCTTAATACATCAAATAACAGAAACCTGATGGTTTTAAGGAACTTTGATTTCCTGAGGAATTTATAGGAACAGAGAAATGAATCGGGTTTTCTCCACATTTCCACACCGTCGGTACATGGTGTGGAAGTGCTGGAGAACAAACAGAGGCCTCGCAAAAGCACCTGGAGGAAAGCTTTTATTGCCCTCTACATCAGTACAGATACAGCGTGTGTAAATGCTGCAGGCACTTAATCTCCAAGTTTATGGCATGTTTTGCCCCAAACTGAGTAAATACACAAATATGTCTACAGAAATGGAAAGGAATTGATTTGTGGAACTTGGAGATGCAAAGCTCAACATTTTTTCTTCCACTGTGAAGACATTTTCTCTATTAAAGCTTCAGATTTAAGGTTTTGCTCAACTTAAAAAGGTATCTCTAAACAAAATTACGTTGGTGATCATTACAGTTACTTTCTTTAAAAAGATGATGTGCAGGTTTTCGGTCTCTGTCAGCGTGCCGGTGCGGGGCTGGTGGATTTCATCCATTTCTCTCTGTGTGCACCTTTGAATTGCTTTTATACTCATCTAACTTCTTCATTCAAAAATATGTTCACTTGTTAAAATTGTGTTTTATTGACTCTTAAAGTACACATCATTTCAGGATATTTAAGTCCTGATTTGATGGATACATGAGAGTTGCAGTAAATGATTGAAAGCAAAAAAGGAACAAATAACTATGAATTTGCAGCACAGGAATGTTCCTAATCAAGCTTTAAATGCAATGACAAATTGCATCTGTGCTTTCTACGTCAGAAGCCCCATTACACCTCTAAACTTCAGCGTGCATAACTACTTTTGAAATTAGTACCTTCCACGTTTTGCAATATGGGCTTTGGATTAAAATCCAAGGTACATAACCTTATTCCTTTCGCCCACCTCTGTTCAATATTCAGAAAAATTAGGAAAACTGGACTGATATAAAAACACTAGCAGTAAAGCAAAACAAGCCCCCTGCACTAATGCCAGAAATTCTTTTGGGATATTTCTGTTGTTGCATGTAACACTGAGAGTAGGGGAGCCTATATGTATAATTACACAGCAAAGCAAACTGAAGACAATTTTGTAAGCCTTTCCTAAACCAGCATTTATGCTTTCTTTCCTCGTTGCTTGGTTGGAGCCCACATTCTGTAGATGAAGAAGAGTACGATGAGATAGTACATGGAGCTCTTCAGGAGAAGTATGATGTACACTAAATATGCTGTCCTGTGCATTAAGTGATCTGTAACAAACATAAGACAGAAAAGTCTTGTTTAATGTCAGTATTGTACAACCTTCTAAAAGGCAGGTAGAACTGGGACTGTGTAGTCTGTTTGCTGCTGCAGTTAATGTCTCAATGCCGGTGGATTATTTTTCCCCGCAAAGGCAAAACCATAATTCTCATGCTTCCAGCACTGATTATTGGTAGCACCGTGTTTGCTTGAATCCTTCTGTGTTGGATTTTTTGAACATCAGTGCTCATGGTTCCAGTTCAGGCTAAAAGAAAATGCCTCTGCCTGAAGCGCTGGGCTATTTCCAGGCCGGTGGAGCATCAGCTGAGGTGTTGAGCATTTAGCTACTTCAGGTATTAAAAAAAAATGGCACTAAATGTGGACTAATAATCTAGTAGCCCAAGCAGCATTTGTAGCATCCTTATAAAGCTTCCTAAAAAGGTAGGAGAACGCTGTTTTATAATCCACAACAGAAGTTAATTCAGAGTAGCACTGAAGTGTTTTTAAGTTACAGACCTCAGACTTAAAAGATTTCCTGGATGCTATTTAGAAAGATAATTTTCTGAGCATATGTAGCAATATCTAACTCTTGCACGACATGCTTGCGTTCCCACATCTTAATACATTTTCATTACCTCTGTTAAAAACTGTCCCGTTTCCAGGATGTGTGCTGCAGTCCACTTCCTGAGTAGTTGTCTTTGTAGAATCTAACGGAAAGAGAGTTCACATGCCCAGTTAGGCTTTTCTTTAATTTTAACAAACATGAATTCAGAAATAGGGAGGGAAAAGAGGCAGTACAGCAACAGTGAAATGGAAAGGTAGTATTAAAGAACAGAAAACAGGTGTTTAAAATCTGTCTACAGAGCAGATGTTCACAAGTAGGTTTCATTTGCCAAGAGGATTTGAGGTGGGGAAGTGACTGGTGATTTGTTGCTGTAAGTGGGAGGGTTGCCTTCGCCCTTTCAGGAATGCATACATTAGGCTGTTCCTTGGCAGAGTCTCTCTTATTTGGAACTGCAGTCAGTTTGGCCACCTGATATTATTACTGAAGTAGCTGGAGTCTGTTTGCCTTCCTCGTGTACTGCTATTAGAAATGCAGAATAATTTACATCAGAAGGGACCTCAATCAGTCTTTTACTTAATGGTTGCTCATCACTAAAGAGTAATCATGAGGAGAATAGGATCTAGGGTTCCTATAATGGGGATTTGCTATTTTGGTGGTGGTAGTTCTCTAAAATAAACTCATTTTGTGGCTGAAGCAGTAGGTTTGGTTTTCTTCTTGGTTATGGTGTTTGTATGCATTGATACAGGTGCTTAGAAATCCATATTACATCCCTAGATATATCCTGGCTGTCTTCAAGGCCAGGCTGGATGAGGCTTTGAGCAACCTGGTCTAGTGGAAGGTGTCCCTGCCCATGGCAGGGGGGTTGGAACTCGACCTTTAAGGTCCCTTCCAACCCAAACCGTTCTGTGATTCTATGGTCCTCCATGTAGATTTAAACTTAAGCATATTTTTGTCAGAATACATTTTGAAGGTTGAAATGTATTGGTTATTTATGGCCATGCTCTCACCCACTGGAATTAAATCAATTCACAGTAAGTTGAACAGTTAGGTACTGAGAAAAGATTAATCTAAACCAATATAAGCAGCTTTTCTTAAAGATATTACCATGACTTAAACAATTTGCATGCGTTCTAGGTTACTTTTTTCTTTAAAATTGCATTGCCTTTCAGATTTTGCTTTGCATCATCATCAATCTTTCCACAATTAAATGAGATACCTTTTTTTCTAACATGGTTGTTACCTCAGTATTGCTGGGCTGTGGATTAGTAATACATTTAATCTTTGCTCTACATCCCCATCCCTTCTTTATTTCCTTTGTTTTTCATAACTGTGACTAATGTCAGGGGGTGTCAGAGCCTGTAAGCCATGGATAACAGAGGCATAATTCTGTTATCTGAAACTTCCGTAGACTGGAAAGTGACTGGTGTGGCCCAGTGCAGACCTTTTGGAGCTCTGCTAGTTTACACCTGATGAAATGTACAGGCTAAATTGCTTTTCCTGGGAAAACTTGGTTAGTTTCTCTGGATGTGTATTTTAGCTGTTGCGCCAAAGAGCACAGATGCCTTCAGGAACAGTAATAGAAAGCATCATTCCTATAATTTTATTGCCAAGAACAAGAGATGTCTATAATCATACGTGGAATGAATTTTTTAATCTGTAATATATACCGTGTGTTGACACTGAATGCTGTTGGTTTTCATGCTCGTAGTTGCAGGAGTATTTCTTGTCTTTGTCCTTCAGTGGTACAGTTAACCAGCTGCTGACTGAGTATTTATCTTCTGAGAGCTTCCAAGTGTCTCCTTTCACTACGTTGTCTGTTACCTCCTTATTTTCTTCATCATTCCATGTGACCCGAATAACTTCTGGGTAGAATTTCTCAATAAGGCAGACATACGTTATCATATTTTCATGTTCGTTCTGCAGGATTTCAGGTTTTGATGGATTAACAACTTCTTTGTCTGGATTGGTTATTGGAAGAAGTAAATTAACAAAACAGAGAGTTGGAAGATCAGTACTGTACAGCGAATCAACACGCAGACACAAAACACAAATTCTGAAGAGCAGTTACCTAAATGTCATCTTAACAAATGTTTCAGCTCTCTAATTTTTTATGAAACACTTAGGATGGGAATACAAATGTCTCATGTATGAACGGAATTGTAGGCGATAGGGTGGATGAAATACAGCTGTTTCCATCCTTGAAGTCAAAATAAGTTTCTGACGTGGTGGACGAACCTGGCATTCAAACACACTTTATACTAAAAATTATTTCAATGCACCCAAATGGCAGGTTTTAATTTTCAGACAAAACCAGTTACAATACTATTTAGAATGATCTGGAATAGAAAATATGACTTTTAACCTTATTTTTAAATGTGTTGTTTTATAGATAACCAAAATGAAAAGAAGCTTTTATGAGTATTGTACAGAAAATCAAGCTCAATATCAGGAGAAAAGACTGCATTCAAATATTCTAAACCAATTTTTGTTTAGACAATACAGAGTTTTCCAGAGTCTGGGAAATGTTTCATCTAAGCTTTAGGCATGGAGAAACATTATTTAAGTCCTAAATTGTTTAGTGAACAATAACATCTGGGCTGCTTCATTCGTGCTTCTTACCAAGCAGCACATCTGACAGAGGAAGACCAGAGCAGCCTAGGCCTACTCTTCAATAGCCTGATACTAGAGTATTTTATTGGAAAAATAAATTTAAGTCTGGTTATTTAAAACCTTAGAAACCTACTCAAAAATGTTTGAAAAGATATTGCTGAGAAATGTTAAGAAACCAAAATATTGTTGAAGATACTAATAATCTCCCTTGAACCTGACTGAGAAAACTTTAGGCGACTGCGTGAGAGCTTATATCCCGCAGCCTTCCCAGCAGTACTGCTGCCAGAAAGTGTGTTTGTCTGCACAAGTCTGTGACCGTCACTGAAGAACAGTGATGGACCCTGAAAGTTTGTTACTTCGTAAGAGGAATTTAATATTGCTTTATAAAGTTTATGCAAAAACAACTACTTAAAAGTTCTGTCTAGAGACTGTGAGAGGTAGACCACCTACCCTTCATATCTTTGCTGGTTTATGCCCCTGGTGTAAGCCTCCAATCTCATTTTTTTAAAAGCTGGTATTAATTTTGTGATTTTGGGGGGGTGTGGTTGGGGAAGGAGTGGCAGACAACAGTGATTTTTTGGAAGACATTCTATATATTTGCCAGGTGAAGATCTTGATAAAGACAGAAAAATGGAATCACAAAATGGTCGGGACCCTAGATCTTGGCAGTGCGGTTCCTTTAATACTAGATTTGTTTAAATATTTGAACTAACACATCTGGGGAAAAAAAAACCCCACAAACAAAAAAACCCCACAAACAAACAAACAAAAAACCCCAAAAAACTAAACTAAAGCAGAAGAACACGCCATATCTAGATAACATTTTTATACCCAAATAGCATATCTATCCATACCAGGTTGTCACAAGTGATGAGCTTTGTGAAACAGGCTCAGTGTGAATATGTTTTAGAAGAAAAGTGAGCCGTTTCCACAAAATAAGTGTAGGTAATCCCTCTGGATTAAACCTTATGTTATTAGAAGGGGGCCAAATTATCCAGATTTCGTCCACACAGAGAAGACATTTTGATAGTATACAAGTGGATAGTAAATTTAAGAGTCTGTTTTAGTGAAACGTGAACTTCTGCAGTGTGTGCCCTGGCAGTGTTCGAGGGCAGTAGTTTTTGTCTATGCTTAGCTGCAAGTGAAGACTAGATACAGTTTTCAACATTGACTTTTGTTGTACAGAAGATAGTGCTTTTTTTTTCTTTTTTAAGGCAGCAGAGAGGTTTGAGGTGTTCGTCTTCTTACACCATTCTTTAGATTCTTATATAAAACACCACCACTGAATCTGAGCAGCTCGATGCTCAGGGTTTAACGTGTGAGCTGGCTGAGTAGTGCAGTTTTCATGTATTTTGAGAAAACACATTAATATAAACATATTTTTGTCAAAAACCTTCCATCTTTCTTTAAATGATCTGGCTGTTCTAGAGCAATCTTCTGTATTGCATCCCCCTAAAACAACTTAGTGATTCGTTTTACATATTTAATACTCAGTGCTTACAAAGGTGACCAAAATAGAACGCTGTCTACCTTCAAAAAGATGACCCTTATACTATGAATTTCCTTCATTTTGGAGATCTGTCATTGAAATGAAGATGTGGACTGAGTTCTGTTGTACCAGAAATAAAATTGCTAACGATTCTGTGGTTCTCTAACATTAATTTAGGGGTTATTTTTATCTTTATGCGTCAGTCCTCCCAGGGTTGCAAGATTAAACTGATTTCAAAAATTATATATTTGTTCCAGAGTTAGGTATGTTCAGACCATGATGTAGCTCCTGTCCCAGTGACATTGCCCTCTCTCTGCAAAGCCTCATGAGTATTTTAGTTTGTCAAAGCTTAGCAAGTTACCCTGAGTAGAGAGGCAGAGAGAAGTGCTCCCAGCTGCTAGTTCATCTTGCACATGTTAGAGATTCCTGGGAAGATGGAATAATTTCCATTTCTGGAGTTGTCAGTATCTTTTAATTTACCATAAAGTTTCAAGGTGTTTCTTCTAAATGAAACACCTAAATCATGTCACAATACTGAGGAAATATATTACTTGAATAACTGCAACTGTGTGCATGCATGGGAGGGTTTCGTGTACACGCATAGGTAAATGGAAGTCAGTGAGAACTGAACAAATTAAGTTTTGCATATATACTTGTATATATATATGTTTGTGTGTGGAAAAAAAAATCTATATATAGTGAGGGTCTGTTTATAGCAAAAAAGGATGAACACTTGTAGATTTTGAAGTATTGCCGGGCTGATCTGTAAAGTCATTGAAGTCAACAAGACAGCTCACACTGGATTTTCTGGGCAAATTATCTGATC